GTTTAGATGATTGATAAATATTCTGAAGTCATTTCMTAATCAGTATTCCGTATTTATAAAAACGGTGCGGTTGAAAGCTCCATTCGAACGATATGAATGCCATTTTTATATTCAATTTAATTTTTCCGCGAAGACAAAGTGAAAAAGARGTGTTCTAACAGTCATATCTTTTTTTACAAACATTATAGGTATCAACAGAAGAAGCTAAAGATTTGATAAAGAGTCTCAATGATGGTAGCGTGTCAGGAAAGAGTGTTGCCGGTACAAAATACATGATGCTCAGAAATCATGACAAGACCGCATATCTCAAGCTCAAGGACAAGGGGGGGTTCACAGCGTGTCTCACGTCACAATGCATGGTTCTAGGTGGCTATGATGAGTCAGCAGGTGGAGCTGGACTTTGCAATAATATCGTGGAAAATCTTGCCCAATACCTCAAAGACAGCGGCTTCTAAGAACAGATATTTCACATTTTCTAGTGTAAAACTTCTCAGTGTTTTCTATATTTGTAAAATGAGTTGCGTTGAAATAATTAACCACATGCCGGAAAAGTGTTAAGCCACTTGATAGATCAGCTAATGTTTGAATACAAATGCATGATATCTGCTTTAGATATATTTTGTTGGCCTTCCAGATTGTGATAATGAAATAAAGATGTTATTTYTCAATTTGTCTTATTCAACAAAATTTTCATCCATTCATTCATCCAAAAGAACAGGGTTACCAAGACTATAAACATGTCAATCAAGGTGGGATGACAGCAATTTACCCTGAATGGAAATATAGGTCTATRGTGAATTCAGAAAGAAAATATCAAAAAATAGGAAAATGATGCACAATGATTTGTAATTTGGGATGTTGTATTATGGGAAAAAATGAATACAATGTCAATTTAATAATACTACAAGGTACTATTTACAAATTTTAAGACCTCTCAATATTCAAGTTTGCCACTACAATCATCATTACTAATGAATTACATGAAGTGTTTGCAATATTAAATTAATAGTTAATTACAGCTACAGTCGGCTCTTGCCTTTATTGACACCAACATATTACTACAGTAGAAGATATCTCTTACATTTATAATGAATTATGACTTTGAGGTTCACAACACTTCATGTAATTTGCTAGTAAAAAATATATTACAAATTAATAAAAAATCAAAATAATTTATAGAGTGCATGCCACACCCCCGTGAAATAAAACTTGATATGTAGTGTCTAATTTGTGCTATTTTGTACAAACTAGTGGATAGCACTGGGGCGGAACAGTGCAAAGAACAATAGTCACATAGTTAGCAACCTTTGTGTTTCTTTGTATGATTTCATACCCGAGTGCAATCTTAGTTAATAACRAAATAGTTGATAACTAAAAACTATAAGGCACTACATAGTTAGGAATTATTTCACGCTTATATGGCACACACTCTACTAGGATTGTTGATGATAATCTGCACAGTGTAACACTGAAAAGCATGKCAAACTACACACACTCAGACGGCATCATATAATCATCATATAATCTACTATAGTCATATCTGAAATATGACTTTGAGACCCAAAAAATTGTTTGATATTAAGTTTATGTTGTCAATACTATATTGGTGTTTAAATTGTATATACATGTACATTACATGTACATTGAAATTTGAGGTAATGTATATTTAGCTAATGGCATTAGGCATCTACTGATAAGATTCTTACTTGGMAGCAGTCTGTCTGGTATTTTTTGAAACATTCAACCTTCTCTAAAAAAACAACTCTGACAAATCTGTCAAAAATTGACATCTAGTTCCCAGAGTAACATTGGAGAAAATGGAACAAAGTAATATTATAGCTCCAAAGTTTGATGTTTTTAGTTTTTGTACATGTGCTTTGTGCTGAAAAGAACAGCAGCGAGGAAAGAAAAAAATCAAACCTCTRGAATAAGGGTTAGGGATGTTATTTATACACATAAAAACATGAAAAAAATATAATACGTCCCTGAAAAGATCACTAATACTTACATAAAACCACCATTACAATAGATATATCACCCAATTTTGTTTTGTTTTGTTCACACCTTCCGTGAAATGTTTCAACCATTTTGTTATTATGTAATACTTTTGGGACTTGTGCTTAGAGTAAATTGTTCATTTTTTCATTCAGGCTGAATCATTGACAATTTGTTGTTTTAGCTTTGAATTTTTTGTTTTACCTATTGAAACAAGTCTCCAAAGTTCCCAGGAGCCTTGCCACTAACAAGCTGCCATTAGTGGTGAGGGGTCTGGGACTGAATGGACTGAAATTTCATATTATTCTAAAACTGCAATATAAGCTGTCCTTAAGTCCTGTCATTCATAATTATAGCTCGTTTAGTCAACTCTACACCTCAATTGACCTTCCTGTGGTTGATGATGATGATGAAGGTTGAATGAGAGGTGTATTCTCATCTGCATCAGAATCACTGGGTTCTTGTCGTCTACTCCGTGCTGAGGTGCTAGTGGCATTATTGCCACCTTCTACAGGCCTCTTACAAACAGGACAAGTCTTTTTACCTTCAGTTAGCCATGGATCTACACACTTGCAGTGGTACACTGACAAATAAACAKTTAATTCAAAGATTTGATTATAATTATTATTTTAGCTGGTGCTTGAAAAGTTATRTGATAAAATAACTTTTTTTATATTATTACGGCAAAGATGACTTTTGAATACATATTTGATTTATGCTCTACTATTAACTATTTATGGAGTTATATTAGACTATGTAAATTATTTCTAATTCCCACTGAGCTCACTCAGCGAACACCGGAAAGGCTATTAATCCATAATCAAACATACCATGGTCACATGGAAGAATCCTTAGTTTATCACCATCCTTGTATTCATCCAGACAGATTGCACACACGTCATAGTAATCATCTCCTGGAGGAACAAAAACATGGTTAAAGACTGTTAGAAACTAAACTTCTAATGGTTTTATTTTCAAATGCAAGGTATTAAATTAATGTAATAGTTATTGTTTGTAATAGTCATTTAATTTCCCAAAACAATGAGAGAAAATATTCATGTACCAAGGGATGTAAAACTTCTATACCTCATGCTTCTGGGTAGTTAACCTCTCACAAAGCAKATCATTGTAATACTCCAGTTTCGAATTCAAAGCAAATAACCGCTGTTTTACTTGACAGCAGATTCTATTATGCAAAGAACTTACCAAAGACAAAAGAAAGCATGAGAAAATAAGAATCTACATTTTCCCCGAGTTGAGGCTAACCCTACTCATACCTTAGGTCTTATGGGAATACAGGGATAATCTCAACTYGGGGAAAATGSAAGTCTATTGTAATAACAACATTTTCTCATGCGCTCTTTTGTGTTTGTAAAGTCTTTGCGCAAGAGAATCTGTTATTAAATAAAGCAGCGGTTATTCTCTATGAATTCGAAACTGGAGTTTTATAACTACAGAAGGCTAATGTTAGAAAAAAGATGAACATGGTATTGACTATCTATTTGTAGCAAACTTAACATTCTACATACCTTTCTTAAACTTCCTGGTGGGGATCTTCTTAAGGTTAGCTGGTGTGATTCTATTTCTTCTTTTCTCAAGATAGTTTTTATAATAGCGAGTTACCTGATAATGACAGAAAAGCATTTCATTTCAGTATAGCAAAAATTTGTATTCAAATACACTTTTGTGATGACTCATGCTGGTAACCATGGTTATAACCTAGTATTACRTACTTACCATAAACATAGCCATGACGATAAAACAAATACCAACAATAATAACAAATGGAATAAGATAGTATTCCAGGTTAGGAAACAATGGTGGAGGTGTAATTGTAATTTTACTTCTGTAAAGAAAAAATAAATCTACATGTTAATTACAATGATTTACAATACTCTGATTGAACAGCTATGAATTGCCGCACTTACCCTGTTGTATAATTATTCCTCTTAAGATCAAGACCAGCAGTCTATAAAATGTGACAATACAATKTTAACAGTAAAATCACAGTTGAATTAAAGGCATGAAGACAAGGTTTTAGAGCAGTACAATAAACTAATTAGACCTTCCAACTCATTTATTAAGCTCAAAGGAATACAATAGGTACTGTATTTCTATACGTGATGGTTGATACAGGAAATGACTACAGCCTAGATGAAGACTGTTCTTGAATTTTCAAGGCTTAATGGCTTGGACATTATCGTTTCTTCTGTAATACATTATGATGTATAATAATTATAATATATGTTACACTGGTGTCATTATTAAAACAGTACCTTGCCAACAAAGACAGCCATTATATCTCCTCTCACCAACTTCCCATCTASAGAGAAAAGAAAAAACAAATTAACAAAAAAAATTATGAAATTGTTTCATTTTGTTCTTTAATACAATTTGGRTWGTTAAAAACAAATTTTGTACATGCTATGTCATATATTGACTGTCCAGAAAATCAGAGAGCTTTTGACATTTTGCTTTCACCATGAATGAAATGTTCATCCTTCTTTAAAAACTTACATTTATTATTTTCCATTTCTTTCAGSTYATCATCTTTATTGTTGTAGATGATCACGAATTGGAAACCTGCATTTGCAGCCACAAAAGCCTTTGCAAAAAAGAAAAATTCATATCAGCTGATAGAAGCAGATCAGAAAATAATCCAAACACTCTGAACAACAACTAACAGCAACAACAACCACAGGAACAACGACAACAACAACGGCAACAACCACAGGAACAATACAAAACATCTGTTGCATACGACGTCGACTCTTTCATGATCCCAACTATCAAACTACATGAAGTGTTAGCACTTAAGAGAAAAATAACCATTGACAATGAGCCCACATGTCCATATGGATTTTGTACAATAGTTTTGATCTTAATCTAATRTTTTAAAAAGAACAATTATTTGCAATCCAAATGACTAATGGAATTGTTCACACAAGTTAACCRTAAAAAATATTTGATAATTTTTAAYAATACATTACCTTGTAACCATATGAGCACTTCCCTTCGACTACCAGAAGGAAGCAGGGGTAGTCTATGTCACCGCAAGGATTTTCTTGAACTGCCATACAGGCATTGAGAGGTTTTGCTACATGAAGATAACCCTGAGAATAACAATCACAATGACAATAATTATTAGCTATTATTTATAATATCATCAGTAATAATGACTGTTCATTGAAGTGTCTTACCTTTGTGGGGTACTTCTCTACTGCACCAAATTGAGCAAGAGCATAGTCATAGCATGGAGAATCATTCTATAACAACAACAAAAATAATAAAAAATAAACATACAAATAGATAGACTACATAAGATTGTAGTATGTGCTAGCCTATATTTAGGGTTAAATTGATAATATTCAAGTTTGCTAAACCTCTTACATCTTTGCATGTATACATGATTACRATGAAAATCATAACACAATGCCCACTAGATTTATTAAGTCTGTTTGCAAGCTGCCGAGTTCATTTGAAATTTCWGAAGTTCACAAAAAGAACTTAATCTGATCTCAKTTCTGTGTCTATTTCAAACCTGAATGACTAGAATAATAATTTGATGCTCTTRAAACACTACCAGGGCAGCATCAAAGAGCAGTCACATGATAAAATTTTACATATTCCATATATAGATGACACATCAACAAAGTTGTTTCCCCAGTTTTGATTGACAATAGAGAGTTTAAGCATCACGTTAACGGCTAACGTCAGAGCTGAACCAATGACCTAAGAATTTCGTGCCTGACCWTGTGCTTTTGGTAGTCATTTGAAAGAGSGRCTTTTCACGATTATGRCAACCTCAAAMTAACCMGCWCTCGCGTTGAAACTGCAATGTTAAACTCCAAAAAAGCAGATCAGGTGATCTTTTCTGCYGTTTACCATTTGCCGTGAAYGTCATGCTAAACCTYTCTAATAAGCMAAAATAACAGAACTTGCACCACATTTTCCTACAGTCACATGATATGTAACATCACTAATTGACATGCATGAATAAATAGTGTTCTTACCACACAGATTTTACTCTGATATGCTTCTTCATAAAATACACTTCCACTGCAAGCACCCAGCCATATTGCAAATGTACAAACAACAGCACAACTAAATAGATAGTTCCTCATGCTGTTTTTCTTTGATTACAGGAATATACTTATCTAAAAGAAATATAAAGGTCTATAAAGACTTTTTTATACCTAAAAATATTAACAATGAATTAATTGCTTTTATTTTTTTAAATAAAAATTTCGTTTTGTAACAATGAAAGGTGGAAGGTAGCCATCTTGTGCGACTTGTCAGCAATTTTTACAATAGAAGATCAGTTTTAATTTGATGCATTTTATAGTCACTTTAACACAAAACAAAATTTATATTTGTCAAAATCGTTTGAAACATCCCCTGAATATTGGAGCATGTATGTGATGTCACCAAAGACAGTATGATGTATCAAATAAAAGTTAGTTGACATTTATGAATATGCATTTATGAATATTAGACCAACAGCACTTTAATTGTTATAATTTACAGATAAAGTAGGTTTCGATTCTAGTTCATCCCATTGCATAATAATGAGTCCCCAAAAGAAAACAAAAGATTACCATGTACACCTTATAAACCTATTTTAAAAAAATCTTAATTTTAAAAGTTCAATAATGCTAAATGATATCCTTACCCAAGTAATGCTTGTCTTAAAACATGTTTGTGAAAATAAATGGCACAATGTGGCGAGACACAGAATTCGCGGTATGCAAATTTCWYATAGCAATCAGGCGGAACAGATGTTTAGGCTTCGAAGCAGAAATTCACGATTCTTCGGGATATCATTTMAAAAATATCAGCTTCACCGAAATTTCATGGTAATATTTCAAACTTAATATGATAGTGCAAAGCAATTTCTGAGTAGATCTTGCATGCATGCATGAGATTAGCTCAGTCTTCATAAGCTTACTTCTGACAACAGCTCCGTTTCAAACCACCATTTTTCAAACGTTGAAATCATTGCTCTTAAACACGCAAAAACATATAAAATGAGAATACTTACCTCTTCAGATATATTTGCAAATAGCCTTATCGGCTACATTATATTTTTCGAGACTAGAAATGAGTTGAAATTGTCTCTGAACTCAAACAACTACAACGAAAGGCATTCAAAATGGCGAACTTTCTCAGTACACTATCAACATGACGTCATGTCACTTTCGTAGTCATGTGATATATATGGCAGACTGCTATTGCGTCACTCTTTTTATTTGAAAAAAAAAWAAACTTTTTATAAGTTCCCTTTGGACCCGCAAAATAAGAGAACCGAAAATTGTGAAAAATAAAGAGAGCGTGGAGAGGGCTGAATGGAATTTCTGGAAGTCTATTTATTTTGGCTAAAGTTTTTTTGTTTGTTTGTTTAKTTTTTTTCATGAGCTATCACTTTGCTTTATGTAGAATTAAAATAAAGAGCAATCCCATTTTTTACAAAAAGATAACACCCTTCTCTCATTTTTTTTAATGAATATTAACTTGTAATTAACTTGCTTATTATATAATATAGAACTTTTTATTTTTTTTAAAAAACACCCTTCTCTCGTGTTTCATGGTCAAATGTTTTAATCAGAGATTTRTGAATATCTTACTTGCCCAATGTCATTGCAGTTTATCATCCATTAGATACAAGATTTAAATAACAATAATTAACAAAAGCARTCTTTTCAAACCTTTCTTTTAATTCAACCAAAAGATTGTCGTTTTATTGGAATTTGACACATAAATGTATAAAAAAATAATACTTTCATAAATTTGATAGAACATGGAGTGTACAATTAATGCAGGGAAGTATGGAATTACAATAGCAAACAAAACATAAATAAATAAATCTATTCACATTCTATTGACCTCTATTATCATCAGTTCTTAAAAAATTGTTGAACAATAGATAAGTGTTTTAATAATTCACTTTATGTTCCACAAATATAATTGGTACAAACGGCAAAAAGCAGATGACTTACTTTCACCATTGTTTGCATTGTTATGAAACCAACCCAAATATACTTCAAGGCTTGCAATTACACTTTCGCCAACTTGCCGTCAGTCAGTTGAAAGTGCTTTGACAAGTTTTTCTTGATATTTTCTACTTGCAAATAATTATCATATGCTAGAAATTTTGTTTGGGCTAGTGTAACAATACAAATGATGGTAATACGTACATGTACAAGAACATGACACTCTTGGTATATATCTTTTCTCCAATTCTCAAGAACACCATCTCCTCAAAATATTATAGTTGAAGTCTGTGATTTTATAAACTCTTTGGATTTAATAATTTCAAATACAAAGGAAAACTTTCAAAATGTAATGATATTTTAAAATATCTAGATATTAAAATAATAATAATAATAATTAGTGTCCAAAGACATTTGAGTTAACATACATGGTGAAGCCAGGACAATGCATGCAATGAACGTTAATTCTTGATTGTCACTAGTACAGAGGCAAAAATTGAAAAAAAAAAGATGTTATGTTCCACCAAAAATATATTCATATTAAGTATATAACAAAACTAATTCTTTTTGAAATAGTAAACTCTAACTCTACCCTTCTCCTGTGAAAGAAAGCTAAAAACTCATGTTCTTTCACAACAAAAGTTTGTAATTTTGCGATTCATCACAAGAGTTAGTGATTAGTGAAAAAAAAATGCATATGCATTAGAAAGTATGTTAATCAYACAATCACAACCAGAATAGAGCGGATTTCGTATGAGCGGGACACCGTTACCGCACGGTTACCGCACAGTTACCACGCCTGGCCTGCAGAATTTTGGTGAAACAATGGGGAACAGTAATTTGGTTACAGTACGATTACGGACACAGTACAGTACCGTCCGTTTCCCACTCATACGAAATCCGCTCTAGTAATTATGCTAACAAACTTAGAGTTCAATTGTACATAGCCTGCAAAGTGTCATGATAAAATGAAGTAATATTRTTTCTTTTGAGTTTTAATGCTGCTGTCACAAGTTCTGATTCTGGTGTCCATTGTTCTGCCACCAAGGTGATTTTCTGTGGAATCTCAAACTTTTCTAGTTTTGCTAAAACAAAACAAAAACCATGATTGAGTCATTTGGCTTCCATGTGTTAATAAATCATCAAGGATGGGGAGCTAAAAAAAAAACAAAAAAAAATCACAGATAAATTTAATAAAACATGATACAAACATAACTATAATGAARGGGACTAAAAAACTGCTCACTAAATTCTAATTAAAAAATTGCATTCATTTTAAAATCAAGTCAGAATTTGCAATCCACAAGTCTTYCAATATACAAAAAAAGCTCACAAATGTAAARAGAATMTGTAACTCCCAAGATGTTCTTACCTGATTTACCAACAGTCTGTAGATCTTTAAGGACAGCTTTAGTGATTGCTGCRTTRCTACASAGTGCATTCCAGTCCTCTGTAGGTATACTCATACTAGCTGCTAACTGTTTAAGCTGTTTGGGTCTGGGTACTACAAGGCATACAGCATATGTCTTGAGACTGTCAGCATAAGCACATACATTCTCTGAGTACTGGCTTTGCGCCAAGGCAGCTTCAACCTTGCCTAGTGACACATATTCACCAGCTTGAAGCTTGACGAGGTCTTTCTTGCGATCTAASAGGAAAAGAGATGCTGAATATCATTGCTAACCTTGGATAATAAGTACTAAATATAATTTCATTAAAATCATTGTTTGATTGCCAACAGTACAAAACATTTCATGTGTATAAAGTATCAATAACTTGTTTGTCCTCTTTATTGGGCAAGAGGTTACAGTACAGAATTATGACTGAACAGACTTGAAATAGGAGACCTACCAATGATTTGAAGACATCCATCATCATGAAATACTCCAATGTCTCCAGTATGAAACCACCGCTGGCCATTCCTGTCCACTTCAAAGTCCTCAGCTGTTTTCTTGGGGTTCTTGAAGTARCCCAAAGTAACATTGGCTCCCCCAATAACCACCTCACCCCTTGGGTGTGGCTTGTCTCGAATAGTATAACCACCTTAGAAAGAAACAAATACATCACTACTGTGATTAGAATACTATATGTTATTCAAATTTGTTCCCCCTCCAAAAAAAGGATATTACTGCTCAATCKTTCATATTTTTATTCATTACCATGATTTATGTATTAAATATTTGCCAGGATAGTCCATTTATTATACCTTTTATTCTAACTCCCATCTCAATGCAATATAATTCATCCAAAATWAACTATAAATATTAATATAATCTTCACCTTCTTCCCAACTGACAAGTTTTATTTCCGTGCTTGGAATTGGTGGGCCAACGCGTCCTGCTGTCATATCCCAGGCTGTCAACATAATCACATTATATTATTTTGGAAAATATTTTGGACATATCAGTTGCTTAAAAAGTTGATTTATATGTGGGYGGCAATGTTTACATTTTAGATAATTTACATAAGTGTAATGTCAAAAATCAAATTTCACTTGTTGTGATACAACACTACTTACAATTGCAAATAGTWCCACCACTACATGTTTCTGTCAGACCATATCCTTGTACAACTGGACAACAGAAGCAAACATTCATGAAGCTCTGTGTATCTGCTGACAACGGYGCTCCTCCACTAAGCATCTGACGTACACGACCACCAAGGAGATTACGTATCTTACCAAAAATAAATCTAAGATGCAAATCMAAACTAGTCCTTTA